TATATTGCTAGTTATAATTGGCTTTATATTACAGCTGTAGACGGAGTAGAACTATTCTGATTATATGGTCTACACTAAACTAATAGTTTTTTGGAAATAATTATGTTGCTAATTATCTAACAATTAGCGTTTCTTCTGGTATGTAAATTGGATAACAAATACTGTTAGCATATGTTTTATTTTTAGCTGCAATCAATGCATCATAGAATTTTTGAGCTAAAAATATTTGTTGACGCGAGTCGCAATGTACGGTATTGTCGTTTGTAATTCTCATGGAAGGTGGAAGATTATTAATAGCTATACTTGAGGTGTGTGGAATATATTCTCCAATACTTGATAGCGCATTTTTGGCTAAATCTGCTAACTCAGCTAATTCCGCGAGGTTGCATCCTCGCGGATTTAGCTGCAATCTATACAAGTCTCATTTGAAAAGTAACGAGTGGAATTGTATTTGATTTTGCTTGGGAATTCGTTAACGTGTTGAACTGGTTAGATGAATACCCTATATAATGTCTTATGGTCTGAATAAAACTTAATAGAATATATCTATAATTATTATTCCAACCATCTATAGAATCATTTTCTCCTTGACTCCAAGATATACCACGAAAATCTGCGTTATAATGTGATAAATTATATCTAATTCTACAAGTTAATCTTCTAAATCCAGTTCCGTAAGTTAAAAATAATCATCACTAAAAATTTTACCACCTAACACACATTAAAGTATCATAAAACTTTTATCTGAATTTGTTATACTTAATGTATTTGAAAAAGTAGCATCTTGTATTATTAAACCGGCTAATATTGAACCGTATCCAGCATAACACATATTAACAGATTTATTTACTTCTAGTCTAAGAGATCAAGAAAATAACACATCATTTTGTCTATTATCCATAGCAAATTGTACGATTCGTCTATGCATATAACTTACAGTAGTTATTGCTTTAGAATTACCCCATTCTCTACCACATTAACTATATGATTGTCCAGCAACAATTAGTACTTAATATGCTGTTTGACACGGTACACTTGGCTGCCATTACAAGCAAGGTAATGGCAAGAAAGAGTCGCATCACTTTAGTTTATAGGAAAACGTGAACGAACGCTTATCCAAATATCTAAGGTAGGGGAACCTGTTGTCCTTTTGACCACGTTGTACCTTTGGTCACTCTACTCTTTCGGCTTTCTATTATTATTTTAAAAAAGATGAGGTGCTATTTGAAATAATAGTCCATGACAACTCTTCATACCATAAAACAACATACTTGGGATATATATTATTGATCCACAAGTAATTATAAGTTTTGGTTTTTAAAAAGTAAATGTTTGTGTTAATCTTATTCTGATTTTAAAACTGTGATAAATGTTGTTTGATTCATCTACGACATTTTAACCATTACCCAACATCATTTTTTTCTTATGGAAAAGTTTGGATGGTTATGCCTGACCGTATATGCGCACGCAATAGCCCCGTGTCGTGCGCGGCTTGTAATTTTTTTTTTGGTAGCGTAACTTCAAACCAAGTTAGTCAAGAAATCTTGCGACTTATCTGGCCCGTTTATTTGGCTAATGAGATTTCAAAAAATTATTAAAGTCCTTTAAATTTTTTTTTGGTTTTACTGTTCGGTAACATAACTTAAGGTCAAGTTAGTCAAAAAAATCTTGTGACTTATCTGGCCCTTTTATTCGGCTGACGAGATTTTAAAAATTTGTTAAGTACTTTAAATTGTTTTATTTTTGTCGTTAGGTAGCGTAACTTCAGGCCAAGTTAGTCGAATTAATTATATGATGATTGCCCCCTGACTAATGTAAAAATGCCTTTTCTAACAATAATTCTTTGAATGTTTTAAATTACTTTTAAATAGTTTTTGCTCTGGCGTGCATTTACAATCTGTAAGGTATTTGCTTGAAAATGAATTTGTTGAAAATTTACAAACTCTTTTCTCAGAATTGTCAGTAAAGATTATTCTCCTTCATAAGTCAGATTTTTATCAGTTGTTGACTGTTCATAAGTCAATAAAGAGTAGAGCACGACATTCCTCAGGAGTCATGAACAAGTAGGCGGTGAAGTAAGATTTTATTTATCCGAGCAAGTAAAATAAAAAGTTACATTTAAAATTTGTAAACATATTATCCCTGCGTTCGTTCATTTGGGGATGTAAATTTATATAGTAATATTATTATGAAATACATTTTTTGCCTTGATCTAATTGGTTCAACTTTTTACGAAACTAATTTATTGTAAATAAATGATTAAATCCAACTTTATTTTCCATTGAGCTTATTGTAGAATTTTTTTTACTTTAAAAATTTTTAATTGCTCTTTTTACAGATCTGAATCAACTGACAATTGCTTATTTAGCTCATTTTCAATTTATCTTTGTTTGATAATAGTCTGGCAATGGATTTAATAATACTGACAGCAATTGATTTATATTTAAATGCCTCTTTTTACAGTAATCATCCATTGTTTGTAAGCTTGCGCTCAATGTATCCAAATGAGTTTTCAAATCCAAATGAGTGTCTGTATCCACACATTTTATAGACTCAGAAAATTAAAAGATGACCTTGTTAAGGAAGAAACATTTCATATAACTGAAGAGTTTTTATGGTCTGGGTTTCTTTGTATTCTTGCTCTTTCAACTGTGTGTTCTACAAGAATTCAGTGTTACTATAGAACAATTAGTTCTCTCCTAAAATATAAAATTATGTTTAATCTTAATACTGAACCTTGTATTCTATGATCATCATCAGATATTGTTAATTTGTTGTTTCGTTCGAAGGCTTCTTCTTTGAAAGATTTACAAATATAAAAGTTGATTCAAAATGTTTTTGTTCCTGATGAAACTTCTTTTCCAAAAATAAATGGGCAACCTTTAAAACTTTTACCGTTAAAACAATTTTCATGGCTTAGATATTTACCTTCTGAAGATGGAGCATTTTGTTTGTGTTGCGTTTCGTTTAGATATAAATACCCTTCAAAAGCTTCTAGATTTAAAAATTTGTATTCTCAGCCATTCAAATACAGGCCAGATGCTGTCAGCACTTTTAATAGACATTACTATGGAAAAAAGGGAATAATTATGAATATCACTCTGCTGAAATGTTTATGAATATCATCACGCAGTACAAATTCTACATTATAGTAATGACTATATTTTGGTCACTACTATAATGTAGAATTTCATAGGAATCATAGCCTGGACCATGATTTCCTCAGTTTTAAATACTATGAATGGAAATGTTTTAAATATAGACATTTTAATAAAAAATATGAAAAGGAGATTGTTTTAAATTGTAAAAAGTTGTTTTGTGAGAAAACCATTTTCTTAAGTCAACTTAATATAGCTTTTTTTTTTTTTTTTATTTGCATTCACTCCCAACAAGGCTGCAAGCAACCACTATTAAGTTGGGAGTTACTAGGAAAAAAAAAGAACAGAGTTATAGAGCAAGGAAACGGTTGACAGAAGACTTAAAAAGTTGAAGGTTGTATGAGTCAGGAAAACATGAAGATGGGAGAGAGTTCCAAAGGATTGAAGTGCGGGGAAAAAAACTAGATGAATAAAAGTTTTTAGAGCATGCAGGGACAGATACAGTAAACGAATGAGACTTAGCTGAATGACGAGTAAAACGAGAATGAATTTTAGTTGATGGAACTAGAGATGATAACTCCTTTGAGCAGTGACCATGATAGTATTTGTAGAAAAGAGAAAGAGATGCAACTTTACGACAATTGGAAAGAGGCTCAAGCTTAGCAGATAGTCCAGGTCCAACAACATTTACAATGCGTTTTTGGACTTTGTCAAGAAGAGAAAGTGAATCGCTAGAAGAACCAGCCCAAATATGACAACAGTATTCCATACAGGGACGAATAAGAGATTTGTAGAGGTAGAGAATGGAATCAGAAGTAAGGAAATGGCGAGCACGATAAAGAGAAGCAACCTTAGCAGAAGCTAATTTAGCAATCGATTGTATATATGGTTTCCATGAAAGGTCAGTAGTAATGGATAATCCAAGAAGACGTAAAGAGGAGGACTCAGTAAGAAGATTGCCATTCATTAATATAGGAATGTTGACCATATTACGGTAGTTGTTTGCAGTAAGCAATTGGGTTTTTTTAGAGTTGAAATTCACAAGCCACTGTGAACCCCAATCTATTACTAAAGTGAGATCAGATTCAAGATCAGCTGCTTGTTAAAGTTGAGTCATTAGCAAAAAGAGCTACTTTAGATGAAAGGTTGTCAGGAAGGTCGTTTATGTAGATAATTTCAAAGGTCATTGTGATGGTCATTGGAAAATAATCTTTAGTGGGTGCAGTAGGTAATTTTATTGAACTTTTAAACTACAGAATTAGAGGTGGGGGTAAAATTCTTGAACTTTATCTTAACAGCTGTGCAAAGAATGCATCTTATATTTCTAATTCTCACAGAATGAATTAATAAGTTGTTGTGGAAAGTACATTCAGAAAACTTTGGTTTCTGAAATAAAAGAAAATCATTTTTTACATTTATTACTGATGATGTTTCTGACTGCTCCAATCAGGAATAATTGTCTTTAGCAATTAGATTTATAGACAATTCCTATGATGTTAGGGAAGACTTTATGTGTTTTTTTACATTGTAAATTAGATACTGAATAAAGGTTTGTACATACACTGTATATACAAATTTTTATTCAGTATCTTTAAGATTTTCTTTAAATAGAAAGTTTGTACAATTTTTAAATTAAAAAGTATAGTTATTTTATTTTTTATAGTTTTATTTATTTAAAAAGATTATTTATTTTATTTTAGTTCTTAATTTATTTTTTTCCATGAAGTTTTATTATTTTTATAAATTTAAACTTTTATTTTATTCTTTTTTTCTCTATTTATCTTTAGTTTTACCTGTCAACTGTTAATCAAAACTAGTACCGTTATGTATTGTATCTTTGATATTTTAATTAAGAGCATTATATACATTGTCTATTATATACTTTTTCTCTTTTTTTTTTCAGCTCTACCTTGAGATTCTACCATGTGTGGTTGTTTGAGTTGAATTATGGTTATAATTTAGTAAGCTTTCATTATTTGAAGTTTACTTTATTGATCATTTGTCAACAGTTTAGAGAAAATAAACACATGTAACACATTAACTGTGAGAATAACTTGGTTTTCAAACAGTAATATTTCAATTGTTTAATATTATATAATATTTATCAATGGAATAAAATTACAAAATGGGTTTTTATGGTTAGTTATCATATTATTGCTTTTGTGTTATTGCATTTCTCATAGTATGATAGTCATACTCATAAATTACATTATATTATATATTTATGGTATTAATGTTATTGCAGTTGTTTACTTTCACAAAGTTATTATTCTATTTGCAATGCACCTTATCTTGCCTATTTAATTAATGATTTGTTATACTCCATATAGGAGTATTATTTATGGAACACAATAATGATGCCCACAAAATATTTTAATACCACAGACAATATTTTATTTTTGTAGATTTAACGGATCCTTGCTAGTTTGAATATTATATATATATATATATATATATACATATATGTATATACATACATATATATATATATATATATATATATATATATATATATATATATATATATATATATATATATATATATATATATATATATATATATACATATATATATATATATATATATATATATATATATATATATATATATATATATATATATATATATATATATATACATATATGTATATACATACATATATATATATATATATATATATATATATATATATATATATATATATATATATATATATATATATATATATATATATATATATATATACATATATATATATATATATATATATATATATATATATATATATATATATATATATATATATATATATATATATATATATATATATATATATATATATATATGTATATATATATGTGTATATATATATATGTACATAGATATATATATATATATATATATATATATATATATATATATATATATTAATATCGCTATATCTTTAACTATATCTTCAAGTGCAAAGCATTATTTGATCGTATAATAACTTGTGAAAAGCAGAGAACTTGGTACTTTTTAAATTAAAAAAACTACATACCTAGAAAAAAATGTTTTAATATTTTATTATAAATTAATCAAACTGTGTATTGAACTTGTAATTTAATGATATTATTGTAGTCTGTTTTTACTTAGTTTTTGTGTCTATTTTTTAAATATGCAACTCCATTTAAGCCGCTTTTTTAAAGGCTTTGCAAATAACTTATTTATCAAACAAAAGGGGGTAAGTACTTTTTTTTGTAATTTACTTTTATCCTCCCCTGTCCTTCTGTGGGATTGGGGCAATAAAATCCGCAACCGACTTTTTTGACTAACCTCTTTAAAAAGCTAAACGCACCCCTGATTTATTGATAGTAATATATGTAATATTTTATTTTGTTAACATTTTTACTCTTTAATTTAGTTATTATTAAAATGATTGTTAATATTAAGTTATTATTAAAAGCATAAAATGATTGTTAAAATTGTTTTGAATAGATTTCAATTTGTTTCTAAATATTTTGTTTTACTACTTAAAATATAATACTTAGTATTTCAACTTCTTTTTAAATTTAAGTTTTTTCTCTGTTTTCAACCAGTTAAGTTTAAATGTTAGTTAAAAATTTTTTTTAGAAATTATATAAATTATTTTATAGAATTAATATCAGTAATTAGATGTGCATACATTATGTTTAGTTTGCAATATTGGATCAAAATTATTGATTTTACTTTGTATGTAATAGAAACTTATTTCATCATATATATTTTACACATCTTACTTCCAGCCTTTTTTTATTATATCAGGTATGCTAATTTTTATAATTTACATCATTAGGATAATATTCTTTAGTTGCTTCCTCAAGTAAAGTAGCTAGCTCATCAACGATTTTACCAAGTTCAATTTATTTTAGTCTTTATCTTTAGGAAGTAATCCTGTATAGACATTAATTTCATTAATTTTATTTGTAGCCAATTTTTTATAAACTAACTTAAAGTTTTCATTATTCCAATTTATTTTCTTTGTTAGAGTATCGTTATGAATTAACGTTTTAGAAGAGTGATTTAAATTTTTTATTTAATTTTTAATTGTTACTTGTATGGTATTGTAAACAGGCTGTATCGTTTAATTAGCTTTCGATAATTGTACATTGAACAATTATTTTTTTAGTCTTGTGCATTTATAAAGGAATGATTAATCCAAGATGATTGCCACATTGAATCTTTGTAAGTAAGTCAGTTTTTTGAAGATATAAATGATCAATGGTTCTTCTTTCATAGTTTTTTAAGTAAATTGTCATTCTTATTATTCCTGTATAAATTCAACTTAAAGTTGCCAAAAATAAATATTTTAAAAATATTTAGAGATGTTAACAGGACAAAGTGCAAATCTTTTTCTGTTTCTCGGACGTTTCAGCTTTTACATCAATGTATAGTATGTATACTTCAACTTTTTATTATATTATCTATCTTAATATTATCTTTTTTAATATGAGCACTTGCTGCTTGGGCGGTCTGCTCATGAGTTTATAAAAATTTCGTATTATTTAGGTGCACACATAACAATGATCGCCTTTGTCCTGTTAACATCTCTAATTATTTATGCAAACTGCAGCTGAAGTCAGTCCGCTTGTAAGTTACTTCAAGAGGAAAGTTTACAATCACATAATATATTTTCTTGTGTTGGTTATCAACTTTGCGGATGCAATGGAGGACGATGGTTTTTTTAATACCAATTCCTCCTGGATTCGACAGAACAATACTTTCGGGAAATGTTCCAAGTTGATTACTAGTAAAGCTATATTAAATGCGTTAAAAAAAATTACCACAGACAATAAAATCAACACCACCTAATTTAGTTAAAGCAGCAAATGGAGTTAAAGATGCAATTAATAAAAGTATGGTAAATATTGGTAAAAATGTTAAATATCAGACATTAGAGCCTAAGCGTAAATTATCTGATACATCGAAAAAATGGGAAAATATAAGTATGGATTTAATGGACAGAGGTTTTCCAACAAATGTATTAGAAGATGTATTTTCTGATAGTGCAAGTGAATTTAGTTACGACGGACCTTCTGACAGTTTACGTAGTTCCCTATCTTCTCTTTCAAGATCAGAATACCAAAAATTATACGATTCAGATTTTAGCAATGAAGAATTGTTAAGAGAGTGGAAAGAAAATGTTAAAACAACAGCTCCTCCGAGATAAAAATATAAATAACCTGGAATAACTAAAGAAACAAAACCATTAGGATTTCCAATTGATCTTAATAGAAGAATAGATGAAGTTTTTGAAAAAAAACCAAGATAGTAATTATTTAGTTATAAATGCTTCAAAAACAATAAATGTTTTTGAAGCACTTAGGAACAGTCACAAAAAATGATGAGACTAAGTTGAAAGAATGAATATTTGTAGATAGCACAAGAGACGCTTACTCTTTAGAGCAGTGCCTATTATATTATAGTATGTGACAATATAATGATTTGAAGTATAAAATATAATAATATGTATTTGTAGAAAAGAGAATGAGTAACAACATTACGATAATGTGAAAAAGGTTGAAGGTTGGCTGCAAGAGCAGGTCCAACTATGTTTACAATGCGTTTTTGCACCTTGTCTAAAAGAGAAAGAGCATCATTAGAAGATCCACCCTATATATGGTAAAAGTAGTCCATATAAGGCCGGATTTGAGACTTGTAGAGATAAGGAATAGAATCCAGAATAAGAAAGTGTTGGGCTCAATATAAAGATCCAAGTTTAGCAGAAGTTAATTTTGCAACAAATTAGATATATGATTTCCAAGAAAGATCAGAAGTACGATTTAATCCTTGGAGATGAATGGTAGACTTATGTATCGGTTATTACTGCTAGCAAATTAGCCGTAGAACGAGTAGATCAAAATTCATATTGATGATCAGAAATTAAGTTTCAATTTTCATATCAGAAATTAAGTTTCAAAATTCATATTGATGATCAGAAATTAAGTTTAAGATTCAAGATGAGAGGTTAAGTGTTTATTAATTAAAGAATCAAAAGCCTTGCTTTTGATAGGAAGAAGACTAATGAGACAATAATTAGACGAATCAGATTGCTCTCCAGAATATTTAAAAATAAAGATAACAGATGCTGCTTTCCAGCAGGCTGAAAAGAAACATCTGTTTTCTACAAGATGTCTTCTAAAAGACACCAGCCAGATGCATTTAACATCTGCCCACGATATGTATTTTTATCGAGACACCATTTCTAGCTTTTACTGAACCAAGAACCCCAAGACACGGGGTGTTTTATGTCGGAGTTGGTATCTCCTAGCCTTTGCCTAAAAAGGCGTATCCTATAAAGGCAGCAGAATATGAAGCAGAATGTACTGGGTTACATGTTACCAGTATCAGGATAACATGGTTTGACAAAAAAATTTAGTAAAAAAAATTTAATAGACTTGATTGTTTTTTTAAATATACTTCTAACTTTTAAATATATTAGAATATTGAACTAAATTAAGAACCTAATACAAATGTATTAAATTTACATGTACTTAATCGTTTGGTAATAAAGTCAATTTCGAATTTTTTTTTTTTTTTTTTTTTTTAACAATAATCCACGCAGTACCGTCACGAGGTCTTCCTACAGCGTATTACTAGTGTAGTCTTTTTCCATAGACGAGTTAAGATGTACTTTTTTCAATATTCCTGAAAAACATCTTTTGCTTTTTTAGTTTTACTCAGCCAGTTTTTTTGTATAAAAATAAACTCATTTTTGTTCATTAATTTTTCAATGTAAGATAGCCTTCTATAAACATTTTTATCATTTATGGTGCATATTTTTATTTCATTGTTATTTATTTCATTGTTATTTTTGTTAAAAGAAAATAAAGCAATAATTTGTTTACCTTGAAAAAATTATTAAAATAATATTTTGTTTTTAAACAAAGAGAAATTTAGTATAATAATAGAGATTGTTATATAATCAAAGATATTATTTTATCAATTGGCAGTTCTGATGATAAGCTTATTAAATAAAATATTTATTAAGTCAAAAATTAATTTTTAGCATATTGCTAAAAATTAAATTTTTACTTAATAAATATTTTAGTTGATAAGCATTTATATAAACCATTATTTGGAATTCATTATTTGGAATTTTTCTCCCTAGCAAAGGGTACCAAATTTACATTAAGGAGAACATTGTTGCTAACAACAAAGTAAAATCATACATTTACAATCAACCAAATCAAATAATTTTCAATAAACTTTTGTTTTGTAACTTTAGTTTGTAACATTTGTAACTTGACTATTTTGAGAAACCAGACACGCTTTGTTCCAAACATCTTTGAGTCTTGTTATTAAGTTGTGTTTTAAACTAGTTACAGGAGGCTAACATAAAGCATTGGTCATAAGCCATTTTTTGAAAGTTTAATGTAAATATCCTGGATTAACTTAAAATTACTATATTTTCTTCTGCTTAGGTCACTGGTTTCTCTTAAAAAAATACTATATCTTAACACATCTCTCAGAGTCAGCTACTTGTAACTCTTTTTTAGATCTTAAGTATTCACGTAGGCAAGAACCGTTTTTCTTCTTTGTTCCAACAGCCATTTTAAATTTAAGTTTACTTAAAAACTAGTACTTTTAAAAATTTAATTAGAAATATAATAAATATAAATTTATGGTTAATACCAATAATCCTGGTAAGCTATTCTTATATAACAAGTATATTGGTTAGAAAAAATAGTATAGATTAGAATTGAAAATACACAGTAGCATAGTCTCAAATAAAAAAAAAAGCAAATAGCAATCCTGGCTTATCATTTTTCATCCATCAAGTCTCTCTTTGTTTACTAGAAACTAGATTTTTCAAATTGTAACCCAGTATAAAAACCTATAAAAATTAAAAAAAAGTAATTTCTTCCTCTCTAGTTTCTTTTGATAAGTTCACTGACAATATATAAAAATTAGTAACTAGTGTATTAAATGTTACTAAATGTACTTAGGTATTTAAAAACAAAGAATCCGTTTAGCAATTTGCAAAGTGAATTAATAAAATATTTTTTTAAAGTTATAACATACCATTGTTATTACAAACACAGAAAAAGCCCCTTCCCACCCCTTTTTTTGTATTCTGTAAATTGTATTCATAAATCAACAATTTTAACTACTAAACGTATGTTGCTTACTTTGTAATAACTTCTGTAGGTAGGTTTGTTGTAAAGCTGATTTAAGTTTACAAATGTTGACATGACCCCAAAAATATGAAAATATGTACTAATTAATTTTTTTTTTCAATTTTAAACAGCAAATTTCCCTGGTAGCTTAAGCTCATTTAAATTTAAATTTTTCGATAGTTTCAATTTTGATATGTTAGACCTCACCTTTTTTTAATAATGCCAATGGAAAATCTGATTTTTTAAGTTTTGTCTATAATATGACAAACAATATACAATCATGCACAAACATGTTAAATATTAAAAAAAAAAAATTAATGTCATATTTGCATATACATATTAGATTTTTATTTTGTTTACGTGTTTCCACACATGCGTGGTTGATGGATGATGATATAAATAAATTAAAGCACTTTTTTTACAAGTTTCATAAGAATTTTATCTAACACAGCTGGTTTGTATGATGAAAGTAATGTTTTTAGCTGGTCATGAACATTTTAAAAATCTAATCATGAAATACATGAATGTTTTTACTTTATTTCTTACATTATAGTATAAAAACAATATATATAATTATCTATATATAAGTATCTTGCAGATCTTGGGATAATATTAACTGCTGAAAAACATTTTTTAATATTTTATTGCAATTTTTATATGTACTGCAAATTGCAAAATATATATACTGCAATTAAAAGTATTTTAGTGCACAAGGTATTATACTATAGCAAATCGTCAAGGTTGTTTTTTTTATTAATTACACAATGTTATAGGTTTTTAGGAAATAATTATGCCTTGTTTGAATAAGTTAAATGTTATATGGAAAAAAGATGACTAGCTAATTAGTAATTACTAATTACAAAATAGTAGTTGAATTAGGGTGTGAATTATAAAGCTCATTTGGCATCTTGTCAACTTACTCAAGTCTAAACTTTAAAATTATATTATAAAAAATGTTTAGTTTATACTTTGAAGTGTAATAAAATTACCACTTAGTTATTACTAATTACAAACGAGGAAAGTTATATTAATTGTACTTATCAGTTTATAATGTTTAAATTAGTAATCTATTAATAGAAATCAGGCAAAATATAATTAAAAAACGTAATATGTTTTCTGTGCTCGGGCAACAGCTTGTTTCTTATGGTTTAAAATATGTTTCCCGTTGTGCTGAACAGAGGTTTTCTTAACGGATGAAGGAGGTGCACACAAAACTTTCATTTAGAATCTTACCAAACTCCACTTATTAGTGTTTTTATTTAAACACCCCACCACT